ACTACTGCAATCCAAAAAAAAAAGAAGAAAAAAAATATATAAAAAAATAAAATAGAAAATGAAAAAAATATGATAATACCTGACTGGCTTCGGAGCGCAAATTTACGGGTTCTTTTAAGTATTTAATCTTCTTCCACCTTGAAGGTTCGAAAGGCTGGCGCCAATCTCACCTTTATGTTTAAGACGATTAAATAGGGGCAGTTGTTGCACCCCAACATTTTCCCTCCTAATTTCTTTTATTTGGCTTAGACCTTCGCATTCATTCGCATATATTCCATTAGGTCACTAACATAGCATGCATTGCATTTAAGAGAGCATATGAGGTTTAAAAGATTAACAGCTATGAATCTAGGGTTTGTGACTGATTTGAGGTGTATACGATTGAATAAGGTTGATTATTCTCTTTCTTCTTGGTGTGGAAGACTGTGGAATTAGGGTTTTGGTTCATGATTCATTTTTGGACTTCTTCTCATCAAGTTACAAGGCTATTAGGGTCCATCTCTCTATGTGAGAACAAAGATCAGAACTCTCTTCAGTTATCATACTCTGATAGAGGTTCTTCTTCAGGGATGCTCGATCATAAGTTGGAATTTTGCATAGTGATTTGCTTCAAAATAAGGCATGGGGTCTAAGATTTATTCACGGGCAGGGATTCACTTTGTTGTGCTATTGGTCATCAAATGGATATGGAGGTTTTGGTTTCCTGACATTCATGGAGCGCACCTCACAGTTGAGTGTTGTGGATCATCAGGAGAAGGCTGTTTCATTTGGTTAAGTGCTTTGCAAGAAAATATTGTGGATTTGATACAAAGATCATTTCAAAGTTAAGTTTAAGCTATTGGGGTTTTCATATATGGATCCGTTGGTGCAAAAATAGAATGAAGTTTGATTGAGATTTAAGATTCCTGATTCAAACAAAATTCATAAGAATTCAAGTTTCATTCGAGATTCATTCTATATTGCAAAATCAAGAAGAAAACTCTAAATGTCAAAAGGACAATTGGAAGAAGGTTTTGGTGCATGGGTATTCACGTTCATTGATATTTTCGAGTCGTGATAAGCGTGAAATATTGGGGAAAGAAAGAATATTGTGAAATTATGTTTCAAACACATTCATCATCAAAGTTCGCGATATTCATTATTATTCCATCAATGGTACTTCAGGATCAATGAAACGGGCATTCATTTACAAGGTCAAAAGGCAATTAAGGGAAATTCAAATTCAACTTGAGGGAGAAGGACATACACTTTGGAATACTTAAAAAAATTTATATTGAATTCTAAAGATTTTAAACTGTATTCATGATCAAGAGCTACAATTTCATGCGAAATGTCAAGGAAAGTTTGTTCAAAATTCAAGTGTTAGAGTACACCATTGTCATTTACAAACTCAAAGTCATTACACCAATAATAAGGAGAGAAGCTCAAAATATGAATATCGTGGACATTACAAGGATTGGCAAAAGACCATATGAGAATATGAAGCCAAGCTTGCCATACTCTCCGCCTCCGTGTCTTAATCAAGTGCCATGTTTTCTTTCAAATCTACAAATCAAACTGGCGGTTAAACCAAAGTAGTTCTGCCTACAAATTGTCTAAATCAGGCCAAATAAATTCCAAAAAGACTTGATGAATACTGCTCCAAGAGGCCCTCTGCACCATGCTAAGGCAGTTGCTGTTATGAATCCTGTTTCAAACCTGGCATAATAGACCAACAATCAGCCTTGCAAAAAAAAACAGAAGCAGAAACTAATGAGATTTATGCTAAGCCTAACTTCAAACCGATTCAAACTAATCCTAATTGTCAAAATAGAGTTTCAAAAAAACCAAATGTCAAAGCTAGCAGATGGTATAATTGAGAAAATCAGAAACAAGAAGGTTTCCACAGTTCACAAAATAAAGAATAATCAGAAAATATAAAAGGAAAATATCAGGAAAACCAGAAAAAAATTACTCTTAAACAAACTCCAACAAATTTCTAACATCCTAACTAATCCCTAACAAACTGTAACAAACCTATAACTAGTATAACTACCTCTAACTACTTCCTGTAACTCCCCCAAATCCTAACTGTCAAACCAAAGTTTTTCTAACAGTTTCAAACTGACTTATAACAGAATTCCTAGTCTATTAACAAACTCAAACAGAATTGCTAACATCTTGCAACTAACTCTAACCAATCCTCTAACCTCTAACAACTCATAACAGATTTCCAAAGAAAACCAACCTTATAACAGTTTCTAGCTAGTTTCTGAATTCTGTAAAAAAACTTAACAGAAAACCAACAACCTTCCAACTACCATAACTAATTCCCAAAACTGAATTTCAACTTCCAAAACTTTCGTCTCTAGGTCATGAAAGGTCTTATCATGAGATTTTGATTTAAGGGTTATACAAAGAATCATAGGTCTCATTCCAAAGTCCTACCCCCAAGAGGATAACTCTTGAGATGTATTCCTTTCGTGGAATTCCACCGACTCTAGGCGAAATCTTCACATAAACTCATAGGGCTGATGTATCCCCTTGGCTAATAGACGAACCTTCTTTCTAAGGTTTTTTTGAAAATAATTTTTGAAATAATAAAATCTCACCACAGATGAATAAATACAATGAATAATATAATAAACAAAAATAATTAAATAAGCAAGTATGAAAACCCAAAAAAAAAACAAGAAAAACCCAAAAAACCCTAAAACCAAAAGAAAAAGGCTTATAAACCATAGGGTTGAGTTCTCCAGCAGAGTCGCCAGCTGTTGTAGTCGGTTTTAAAATGAGAGTCGCCACCCTTAATTTTTATCTTTAAGATGGGGATATAAAAGATAACCCTAATGTGGTAAGATATTTTAAGTTGTTGGACTCGTTCTTAGACGAAGGGAAGGTGTTAGGAACCCCTCATCTACCTTATTCACAAGGATACTAGGATTTAGAAATACAATCTTTAGGAAATAAGGTTTTTGATTTTTATTAGGGGAACTCTCCATGATTTTAGTCATATGTCTACGTATACTCTTAGGAGGAATCAGAGTCCCAATTCGTAGTTCGCAATTGGTTGGTGTTTTTTATAGATTACGAAGATATTTGAATTCCCCTTGTACTTAGTCTGAGTGTGTGAATAACGGAATTTGTTAGACAAAGTGTGCAGGCGTTGGATGGTGGTGACGAAGGAAATAACAGCGACGTGACGAAGAAAATCTAGGGTTTCAGATGTTGAAACCCTAAGCTTACGGAGCAGAGATGCAAAAGTTTACGGCGACGGGGCTCAGATCTCATTCTTCTCTCAGGCTCTCTCTGTTCTTCGTCCCATTTTCTCCCCTCCTCTTAGGAACGTAGGCCTTTTATAGCGTTAGTTTTAGTCAAAATAGGAAGTTTTTTGTATGATTATCGTTACTTAGAGATTGACAGCAGAATTATGGATTTTAGAGATTAGTTTTGACTTGTTTGTAATTGGGTTTGAATTTGTATAGCAAGACTTGATTCTGTTAAGATTTGATTTGATTTTGTATTAAGTTGATTTGTAAATGTAAGATTTTTGGACAATTTAAGATGTGATTTTGTTTTGTATTGATGCTTTTTTGTAAATTATGTTTGTAAAGTCTTTGAATGATTCAAAGGGAAAGATTTGATTTGTTTTAATCTAAACAGTAGTTGTTCTTAACCCAAAAGCAAGTGTTTCTCTTCTTCAATCTGCACAATGTGTATTTTTTTGATTGGGCTTGGACTGATTAGGGTTGAAAGTTTTATCTTCACTTTTTAGTCAACGTTTTTTCCTCAATTAATAAAGCAAACATAATTTTTAATTAAGTTTATAATATAATGATAAAAGTTGTAACAACGTTACTAATCAAAATAATTTTTCAAAACATTTTGTTAGGCCAACGAAGAGAGGACCTAAAGGAGTATGTGAAGTATGAACCATTTTGTTATTATCATAGTAGTCTAACAAGCCTAAGTAATGTTAGATAAGAACTTGTCTCCTAAGAGTTAGTATGATTCAGAGAAATATTATACCACATGTGACGCAATATCATGGAGAGAAACACACCACATTTACATCATGAGGTATAGTGCAGTAGCATAGAGAAAAATACTACAATATACAATATCATATAGATAAACACATTTATACTTCAATGTTGACTAGTGCAAAAATAACAATAAAATAAGAGAGGTTACATCCTTTAATGAAAAATGGATGTAAAAGACACACAATGGTAATTTTGTAAATAAAATATTAATTTAAGTTTCAGCTTGTAACAATATACACCCTATTATTGAAAAAAGGATGTAAATTTGAAAGAATATTTAACATAAAATTTATCTTCTCCCGTTCTATAAAAAATGGGAGTAAAAAGTACAAATGTTGGCAGATTTGTAAATAAACTTGTTGCTTAAGTTTTAGGGTGTAAAAATAGACACCCTATTTTCAAAAAAAGAGTGTAAATACTTAAAATCTTATTATCTAATTTAATTATTCATGCTTCAAAACATAGACTTTTTATATCAATTCTCACTTTCTTTTCTTTTTTTCACTCAACAATTATACATCTAGAACATTTGTAATAATTATTTTTTTTCTTTTAAATCTCAAAACATATTTTACAAGAATAAAAATTATTATTAAAAATTATTAAAATTAACAATATACGAGAATAAAAATTAATAGTAGTTTTATAGTGTAAAAGTTCACAATCTACAAAGAGTAAAAATTGTTACTAAAAAAAAATTAAAATTAACAATCTACGAGAATAAAAATTAATACTCCCTCCGGTCCTTTTTATAAGGAACACTTTGCAAAAAAAAATTAGTCCTTTTTATAAGAAACACTCTTTAAATTTAAATAAATATGTGAGAAAAGAAGTCATGTACTCACTATATAAAATAATTTTAAACGGTCAATTAATCACAATTATGTATTTATTTATATCTTATTTTTAATTTTTTTAATGATATGACATATTATTGATTTTCTCAGCATCAATCCTTCTTTGGCAAACAAATATCTACTTCTGAATATTTGCTACATAATGGAATGATATATTTATAGGAATTTTCTTTTCGCCAATATTTCTTCTTGAAGTGGTCACGATGTCCAGGACATCATCCTCATCATTTGTCTCTGATTCACTTATTTGTAACAGTTGTCTTTTGATAGGCTTCTTCTCAATAGAAGTGCTTTCAACCTTTCTTTTTTTGCTCACAGTCTTCTGTCTGAGAGATTTATTTTCCTTCTTCAGTGGACTTTTAGTAGAAGTTACTTTTCTCTCTTTATCAGCATCTCTCAAAGTAAAGTTTGAAATAACATCTTTATGTTTTCCTTTGTCTTCATCGCGTAAAGATCTAACTATGTTTTTCATAAATTTCACAACAGATTCTTCCTCAGTCACAAATTCATCATCTACAACCATTACATCTTTAGTTGTATCTTAAGTTCCTTTGGTAATGTCCTGGGGAAATTTCTCCAGTAAAACGGTTGGTCATCATCTTCCTCAGCTTCACCATTGCTTTTGTCTTGTACCTCATGTTCCTTTCTGTGAGAACTGTCATTTCCGAACTCATCAGATGTATCATTCCTTTCTTCTAATCTCTCATTTAGTGTGTATCACTCACATGAATGTCCACTGCATCTCAGTGGTCTCACTCTGAGTTTTATCAAATGTTGGAGCAGATGCTTTAACATTAGGTTCAAAATGAGGTTTTAGAAAAGGTTCCCCGTGTGTTTCAACATTAGCACTAATATTCTCAATAGAGCGGAAGTCAGTTTTCTTGTTCATAATAGCTATAAAAAATTCACAACGAGTAGGTTTAGGTGTTTCGTGAATAGGTACACTTGTGGTGTTTTCTTCCTTTTGTACACTGCACTCTTCTTCTATTCCTCGACGATTTCAGCAGAGATAATCGTTTGGAGGGGAAGATCATCGGGTACAACATGTTGATCAATATGTATGCTTCTAGAAGTGGAAACCCTATTATTCTTTGGAGGAAATTTCTCCCCTATTTCAACTTATGACTTCTTCTCCCCGTGAATATTTAGAACATGTTTGGGTCCAGAGGCATTAGATTCATTTGTTCTTTGACTCATCTTTAGTTTAGGTTGAGAGCGCTAAATAGGAGAGGTCAAGTTTGAACAACTGTGAAAGAAAATCAATTTGCATGGGAGATCTGAGAGCATAGAGTTTGAATTTGAAGAGATTTCTCTTATTATATGTGTTGCAATGACGTCAAGAAAGATAGAATTTGCATGCCTCTCTTGAGTTAAAGACCAACCAACTTCACCCATGTAGCTACTAACATCCCCACAACCTTTCAACATTATCAGTATCAGAGGCTTTAGGAAAAATGTCTCTAAGTAACTTTACTTATTGTCCAAGAAGGTGATTGATACTTATCTTTACTTTAGACTTCATTTGTTAAACATAATGTTCCAACTTTTTGTCTTATATTCTACCAAAAACATAAACACATTTGTTTGTGTCATTCTCCACACAAATGGTTTCATCCTTTTTACACATGCTTTCCATTTGCACTAGCTTAAGCTATTTTGAAATGACATGATGTTAGAGCTTCTTGTGGGACATCTTGATCTTCTCTTCACACATTTTTCCTTCTTCGCTATTCAACAATCTCTTAACTGCATCTTCAGATTCTTTGTTCTTCTGAGTAACACATTGTGAATGTTGGGGTATCCACACATGACAGTTGTCTTTTGACTTAGAACCCTTCATCAACATTTCATGATATATGTTAGCGGAAAATTACTGGTTGCAGTAAAGCGGCAAGCAAGAAATAAAGTATGATTTTTATCAGGTGATATTTAGGTCATATCGTATTGTGTCCACGTAGATTGGTGAATTGAAATATCGTTTGACAAATCTCTTGTTAATGAGTTTGAGGTTAAATGGGTTGAAAGGAAAAGTATCAACAAAAAATAAATGTATAAAAAGGAAAAAGGAATAACCTATAAAGCATGCATATATACTACTTCTCACATACTTAAACCTATCGACCTGTTATACTAAACCTACAATATTCATCAATGTCATCACGTGTCACTCATAACCTAAGTCATTTCTAACCCAAATTGAGAGGTCAACTGCATCACCTCGGTAGCAATCTCTCAACAACACAAAAGTCAATTGTACTCGCTTGCATCAACAATCTCTCAGAGCGACACAAACAACACATATGCATTAATCACAGACACTCTAAGTGAATAATAAAGCTAAATTTATCTCTAGAATTCAGAAACTATTAGATAATCATCCTAGATAAGAATTTAAGTAGTATATGTCTATAGCAACTCAAATCCCTATCACAGAGCAAAAATCAAGGATAACAATTGACAAAGATTTATAAAGCCAGTTTTATCAAACGCCAAAGGCGACAAATATACATAAGATCAAAGTAAATACATGTACAAACCCAACCAAAAGAGAATACAAATAAAAAGAGAAATGAATCGCATATCTACCGGTTTGTCAGCATCGTCGAAGAGCTATCCACCCTGGATCATTCGTATGCAAGTTTCATAGTTGTTATCTAAGCTAATCCTAACAAAACTAAAGGTTGATGGAGTTGAGAGCAAAAACTTCCCCAAAACCATAACCTAAATATGAACTAAATATGTTTTTATAAAACTCATCTCAGCAGACCGTGCTAAGCGGGCCTGGCGCGCTAAGTGCGACTTCTTTATTTTATAAATCAAACAGACCTAAACAACACTAAGTGCACTATTTGTGCTAAGCAGGTTTCAATACAATGCTTCTGCCAAAATGTCAAAACGCAAGAAGCGCGCTACAAAATACACTGAGCATACTCGCGCTTAGCGGCCTTCTGCGCACTAAGCGGGCTCTCCTGGACATATCTTCCCAAAATTGGTCTTTTATTCCGAAAACGCGCATCCAGAGTCGTGCCTTCGACACCTTATTCCTCGATGCTCCAAAATGAAAAAATATCTACAAAATGAAGGGAAGACATCAAAAGGTACACTATGTACACAAAAACACAAATAAACACAAACTAAACGTATTTATATAAAAATCGGGTTTATTCAACGATATTAACAACAAAAAGTCGATAAGTGCAACGAAAAGTATATACAAAAATTGCTACAATTTGCACTTATCAAACTCTCCCCAACTTGAACTTGTTTGTCCTCAAATAAGGCCAAAAAACTCAAAGAACCAAAAGTAATCAACCAAAATATCATGAATCAACAAGTTTTAAAACGGAAAACAAATGTATAGTTTAAACAAAAACGCCCACACAAGGTAAATGCTTACCACAATCATACAACGATAATATGTAAACGAAATGAATCCGTACAAAAATCATACTAAATATTCTAAAACAAAACAAGCTCAATCATGAATAACACCTAGTAAAAATTAATCGGTAGATGAAGAACACACAAAGGTGAGGGACAAAAAACACTCATCCACAATCTTGAAAACAATATACTAAAATATGCATTCATCCAAAAACTCATATTGAAGATACAAAGGCAAGAATCACAAGGGCTTTTTAAGGTTGTAATGTAACTTGGTTAACAAACAAGGGATAAATCCTAAAGCTAATCGAAATAAAAACTTTACTTACCCTAAGAGAGTGATCAACTCACAAAGAATCAAGCAAAATAATTTCAATCAAACTTCTTCTTCATTCCAAATTTCTCAAACCAACACACATCACTTATTAACACAACATTATTCCATACTTTTTTGTTTTTGTTTTTCAAAACTTTTTCAATTTTTTTTATTTCTTTCTTTTTCAATTTTTTATTTCTTTTTCTATTTCTTTCTAAACCTCATAGTAATATACACAAGCACATAAACATTTCTTTCCCCAACTTGAATTCAACCATATCATAATGTGAATACTCCATACTTTCTAAGGCAAAGTAAAAATTTAAACTACAAATCATAGTTAAAGGTTCAAGAAAACAAAGAATCAATATCTATACAAAAAGCTGAACCAAACACTCATAGACAAGCATTTAGAAAAAATAACATGGATATCGATAAAAAGGGTCAAAAGGGGATACTAATGATTATACACTCACAAAGTGAATTGACTATTTGACTAGGGTAGTTGTGCTCAAAATGAAACAAAAAAATGTATTTATCATGTTCAAGCTTTCATACAATCAACACAAACAAAAGATTAAACATAATAAAATCCAGTTAAAATAAGAATTGTGGCCTCCAACATATAAAGAATGGATAGCTTCCTCACATTTATGGGTAAAAAGGGAACTAAAGTGATTCAAGTCATGAGCAAGTCCTACAAAAAGAATGAATGGCATGGTAATTATACAATTGATAAATTTCCTAAACATGTTATGTTATAGAAAGCGATAAACGACTAGCTGGAGAGTACCAACTTCAAAAACTATCATTACCATACATCTGCAAGTTAACACACTTAAAATCGGAAAATCACCAAAAGCAACCTCAAGCTATCTAACCAAAATTTGAGTCCAAACAACAAAAGAAAGAATTAAAATTATTATTATTAATTACTATACTATAAAGCCTTGGGTGAAGTGGGAAAAAGGAGAGTCAAGCAAAAAATAAAAAGAATTCACTGGCTCTGCACAACAAGGTGCGCTAAGCGGCTAAGAGCGCTACACCAGTTGTAGAAAAATAGGACAACAACAGTAGTGAAACAGCACCCCCCACAATCACCTACACAATCTCAACTACACATGTGCAATATTTACAACATATAAACTTCCTCAAGCTAAACAAGACAAGCTTGCGGAAAAACACAAATTGACATAACAAAACAAACAATTGAAAGTGAATTAACAAGTTGAAAAGTGAAAATTTGAGAATTTAAAACAAGTTCAATTTTAACTTGTTAAAACACAAGTCAACACATACATAAACGGATACAAACAAAACATGTTTGTTTTACGTCATAAGCTTGACACCTTTATTGTGCGAGCTAGTAACCTCCTCTCGTCATGCCATGGTATTATCACACCGTGTAAACCTAAAGAAAATGTCCTAACGACCACATAACAAACGTTACAAAAACGAGACAATTCATAATAATATGTGAAAACAAAGAAAAACACATATATGTACAAGTATTGAAAGTAAACACAAAACATGTACAAGTAAAAATAGACAAGTTTATGTACACATTCTATACCACATGTACATTAATTACAAAACTCAAAAACAAAGAAATTACCGCAATGCAAAACAATAAACACCAATCCCCGACAACGACGCTATTTTGCTGGTTGCAGTAAAGCGGCAAGTAAAAAGTAAAGTATTATTTTTACCGAGTGATATTTAGGTTATATCGTATCACGTCCACAGAGATCGGTGAATTAAAATGTAGTTCGATAAATCTCTTGTTAATGAGTTTGGAGTCAAATGGGTTGAAAGGAAAAGTATCAACAAAAAATAAAAGTATAAAAATGAAAAAGGAATAACTTATCAAGCACGCATATATACTATTTCTCACAAACTTAAATATATCGACTTGTTATACTAACCTACAATATTCATCAATGTCATCACGTGTCACTCACAACCTAAGTCATTTCTAACCCAAATTGAGAGGCCGACCGCATCACCTCAGTAGCAATCTCTTAACCACCTCAACAACATATAAGTCAATTGTGCTCACTTGCATCGACGATCTCTCTGAGTGATACAAACAACACATATGCATTAATCACAGACACCTTAAGTGAATAACAATGCTAAATTTATCTCTAGAATTTAGACACTATTAAATAATCATCCTATATAAGAAT